ATTGACCTCCTTGCTGGTCCTTCACAAGCGTCTACATCTCATGACCATATTTTCGCTGGTTGTTCCCATACCGGCAGTGCTCTCCCCAACTTGTCTCTGCCCCTGGCCTCCCTGGCTTTCTTCAAGCTCCAGATAAAATCCCACCTTCTACTGGAAGCCTTTCCTGATGCCCCTTAATGCCAAAGGCTTCCCTCCTCTACATATTTTGTTTGTATATAATTTGCTTTCACTTTGTCTCACCTGTGAGTTCCAGGAAAGCAAGGACTGTCTTTTGCCATCCTTTATATTCTCAGCACTTAGCAAAGAGCCTGGCACATGGTAATCACTTAATAAATGCTTATTGACTGACTTATTAATATTCTGATTTCATGAACCTTAGTCCTGTCTCCTCAACTAGACTGTAAACTCCTTAAAGGTAGAAATCATCTCATACTATGTCTCACTCCACTCTTGTCTCTTCTGAGCTCAGCAAAGGAGTGGATACAGTCTGTACTCAATGCTTGCTGTCAGGGATACTGCAGAGGAATGAATTCATCAGCAATAAGCACATAGCCTCTGGCTGCTAGGCCATGAGCACCATCTACTCTTTTAATGAAGATTGCATTTGGGAAGAAGAAATGAGGGTAACAAGCTCCCAGTCCCTCTCAGTATTCTGTCTTTTCAATAGCAGCTATATCCACTGGCGAATCCTCTAAGGTGGGGTTAGATAACTCTATTAGGTCAATTTCAACATAATTAAACGTTGTTTAAGGCTCTTCTAGCTAACAATATCACTGAAATAACCAATCTCACTTGTTCTTTGGGACAGTAGCTTGTTTTCAATTCATTTAAAATTCATGGAGCCATTACTGATGTGATGATTTCCCTCAAAACTTCAAGTACCTAGCCTATAAAGGTTAAACTTAAATTAATTTAGTCATGCTCTACTTGCTAGATGCAAAGAAATTAATAACTCAAGAGAAATAGTGGAGTGGAAAGAGTCCTGGATTTTGATTCAGAGAAATGGGTAAATCCCAGTTCTGCTATAGACAAACCTGGGTGACTTTAGGTAACTCATTTAACTTCTCTGGGTCCCTTCTAATTCTAAACCTCTAAACTATGTTTCTTTTTCTTGAAAACTTCCTTTATAAAGTGCATTCAATAAATACTATGAAGGTCAGAGAGTTGATCCACAGTGCTTCTGACTGGGGGAGGAAATTAGCCTATCCATTTCCCTTCCTAACACCACTCACTGCACAATTTCCAAATTCTGATCATGAACTTTTGGATCCTACAAATAGGCTCAAAAATATTGATTCTCCTTGTGACTCTACAGTCTGTGGTCATGTAGTGGAAAATGGAAAGTTTTGTGATTCTTTTTAACTCATAGACCTTCTATAATGCTCTCTGAAAAACATTTAATAAGCACTTCATTATTTCATGTGAGCTTCAGTCCCACACCAAGAAATCACTTTGATCAATAAATGATGTCATCCTTTACAACAGACTCATAGACTGATGTATTTATAAGATCATAGGTAAAGTACAATGAAGTATTGGGAAATGTTCTGATGGATCATGGGGGGTGAGGGTTATTGGTTGATACTGAATTTCCTTGTTCTTGCTAAGACTCTGACACCAACATCACCACTGAAATTATTCACAGACATGTCTCATAGCATGACAACCACTCAGAAAAGTGTAGCTCTTTGGCCTCTCATGAAATTGGATTATTTACAATTTTTCAAGTAAAAAAAAAAGTTTTTACTGAGCTGGCTGTCAGTGGGGAACAGTGAGGAAGGGAACAGAGAACTGCTCTTGAAGTTGAGCTCATGCCTTCCTCCACACAGCTCAGGCATTTGCTGTCGCATAGTAGGAGCTTCCTAGCTTTTTGTATGATTTCCATACTTTAGACCCATTCCATAAAATAGTGATGAATAACTTCATGGTAGTATTTTGATCTCTGTTAACAATATGTAAACCATTTCCCTCTGGGACAGAAGGTCTTAGAAGCTGATCACAATTCAGTGCAATGAGAAGGTGTTCTCTGAAAGAGACAGAGGTTGAGGTGAAACTGAGTTATTCCTATTAAAAAACAGGTTTTTGTTAGCACACAGAGTACCTGGGACTGTAGAATGTGGTCTTTTAACTAAGACATTTTCTATAAATTATTCTAAGGCAGATGTTCACAAATGAAAATCTAAAGGATTGAATTCTGATTCTTTGGTTTGTTAGGGCATTTTTGGTTAATAATGTGTGCAGAATCACCTCAGTATTTTCAATTATACTGTTAAATGGCATAATAGAAAGGGTAGGAAAAAAAAACCTGGCAGGAGTATGATTCCTTGAAAATTGAAATAATCTGAGCCAACAGAATGATTTCTATCAGGGGCCCATTCCAAATTGTCCTTCTTATGGTGACCCATATATGACATTCATTTTCTTTCCTCTGAACCTTTGCTTTGGATGTTTCCTATGTCCATTAGGTTTTCTCTCCTCTCCTCGTTTCTTAGCATCTCGAGTTTCTTCCAAGACTCAGTTCAAGGGCCACCTTTTACAAGAGGCCGTTCCTGGTGCTCCCCACTGCCCATGACCCTGCCAACTGGTAATGCCTTGAATTTAGTTCACACACACACACACACACACAACACACACACACACACATACACATACACACACACTTATAGTATAGCGCATAATGTGTATATCTCAATATCTCTCTCTAGATATGTATGTATATGCACATTATAATATGTAGTAGAGCATGTAGTACATCTATCTCTATATAGTTCGTATACAGTAGAGAATATAGTATGCATATATTTATCTAGATAGGTATACATATATATGTTATATACATATATAGTACAGACTATAGTATATATGTATGTGTATATAAAGATATATACATATACATGTATATGTGTATATTCATGCACATTATGCATATATACATACATATATATATATATACATATATAGTGTATATACATATATATGTATATATAGTCTTCCTTGATAAAATGTAAGCTCTTTAAGGACAAGAGATTATTTTACTTTTGTTTTTGTACCCCTGACTCTTAGCTCAGTGCCTGGAATATAGCAGGGTCTTAATAACTGTTCGCTGACTAACTTATTGACCCATTTATGCTAGAACACCAGAAACTGTGAACACTCCCAATTCCCTTTAATCCACACTTTTATTCTCTTCAGTGAATCCTTCTCTCATTCCCCTCTTCTCCACATCCTCTTTGCTCTTCTAGCACATAGCTCATAAGATCCTTATCATATACTGCCTCATGAGACAATATAAAGTAATGTCTCATCTCCTCTACTAAAATATAACCTCATTAAGAAAAGAGGCATTGCATTTCCCATCCCTGTGTCTTTGCAAAGGTGGCACCCCATATCTGGAAGGCACTCCCTGCTCACCTTTACCTTTTGGAATCCCTTGTTTTCTTCAAAGCTCAGCTCAAGTGTCATTTTCTATATGAGGCTTTCCTGATCCCCAGCTTCTTGTGTCTCTCCCCAATTATTTTTCACTTATTTATTTATTTTTACATTTTTGTATCTACTTGCATGTGTCGATGTTGTCTCCTGAGATAATTTGAGCTCCTTGAAGGCAAGGGCTGTTTTTTTTTTTTGTCTTTATAACTACAGCCTATACATAGCACGGTCCCTGTATGCAACAAGCTCTTAATAAAAATGTTATTGAGAAATTGATTCTTCCTCTTTGTATCCCCACACCCCACAAGCATGAGTCATACAAAGTAGGTAGCCTGCAAATGTTCACGGAAAAAGTCAATGAATAAATAAATGAATGCTCTTTGACTGGATTCCATTCTGTCCTGGGGGAGTCCTTGGCTTCTCCCAACAAACTAGTACCTATACATACCTAGCTGTGGTCTTTTGTGGTCTGTGTTCCTAGTGGAGTGAGATTTCTAAGTTCCCTTTTGGAGTCCACAAGGATCACTAAGATTAATATTAGGACTAACAGTATCTACTCAGTTAAGAAGTGTGTTAACGTTTAGGACATACTTTGTGCATATTGATCTCATTAGATCCTTACAACAACCCTGGGAGGTAAAGGCTATTTTCACCTGCATTTTACAGATGAGGAAACTAAGGCTAACAAAAGTTAATTGCCCAGGGTCCCAAAGCTATTAAGTGCCTGAGGTATGATTTGAGCTCAGGTCTTCCAGAATCTTATCTACTATGCTACCTAACTGCCTTACCTTGCCACCTAGCTGCTCTACTTCATTATCTTAGCATTTCCAGCAACCTGAAAACTTAGCATAGTTCCCAGCACACAGTAAGGGCTTAATAAATGCTCATTAACTTGGGCAGAAAAATGCATTAACTGAGAAAATTACCCCAGAAATAAAAAAAATATCATGAGGTGAGGTAAACCACCCCTAACTTAAATGCTCTCAACTCATAAAAGACAACTAGTAAAAATTACTTTCTTTGTATTAAAATAAAGAAAGAAACAGAAAGGTCCTCATGAATTTAGATGAGAAACATTAAATTGATCAGCAGATGACATATTTTGTTTGCTGGCTAGTCATGTGAAACATTGGTTGTTACTGGTATGCAATTTAAAACACAGCAAAATATTTTAAAATTCAACCATAATTTTCACAAATAGAGTGTCTATTCAGAAGGTAATTTCCAGGATGGGTATCTTTGTCAATCTGGAGTTTTGGATAGAGTTGGAATTAAAGTCACACAACAAATGGTAACGTAAAGAAAAAAAAAGTGCACTCATTCTCTCCCAAAGCAAGATGTTGTGGCTCTTGGTGGATCATCTACATGGAACAAAGTGATAAAAATTCAGGTTTTCACTAGCCTGTATCTGTTTTAATGTTATCTGCCTCTCAAAGGACTCTCTGAACAGTATTTGCACATTAAAACACTTCCTCCTGTTTATATGCTAAAATTCTGAGCCACATTTCCACTTAGATAATAACAGCAAAATAGCTCATTATTGAAAGAAGTCAAAGGATTTTGTGAATACATACAGGCATCGCATTATTCAGGGTGTTATTGTAGACACAGGCTCGCAATGAATAATCCAACATGCAATTTTCAAACAGCTGCAGAGATTCTGCCACTTTTTCATGGAAATCTTCAGCAGATTTATTGGAACTTGCAAAGTAGAGATAATCTGAGTACAACCTGTGAATGAAATACAGATGTATATTTTACTGAATGTGAATGCAGAAGAGCTCGACTTCCGTGATGATGGAAACCAATGTCCAAATTACATTTATTATTGTTCATTAAAATGCTGTTTATCCTTTGGTATGATATCTGCTCTGTTTACTCATTTGCCATTCTCTGTCTTCCCATCACCAAGCTCAGGTCTTCCAGACTCCTCTTATGGTACTGACAACCTCATGTAAATTTTTAATCTTTGTCAGGATCTTTAATCCATCTATGTTAGTCTGAAAACATGGTAGCAGAAGGGTTTTCTTGCATTTTCTAAGAAGGTTCAAGCTATGGCTTTGTTTTCAAACCATCTACCAAAAAATGGTATTAGATTTTGGAAACTGGCCAATTTCAGAGCAGAAATTGTTAAACTCATATATACTTTCCATTTCAGTCCTCAATCTTACAAAAGAAAGAAGTGTTGTTATTCTTCCAATGTCACATTTCTACGAAATATTCATTATAAATTTATACACACATTATGCATGCATGACTGTTTTTTTAATCTGAAATTGTTCTTTTGAGAGAGTAAACTAAATATAATATCATAGTTGCATATCTATGGCTCACAGGCATAAAATCATAGATTAAGAATTGAAAGGACCATATAAATTATCTGATCCAATCTCCTCATTTCACAGATGAAGAAATTAAGGCCTGAGAAGTTAGGAAATTTGACTAAGGTCACACAGGCAGGATAATAGAAGAGCCAGGATTTGAACCCAGGTCCCTATACCCTCCCTCCCTGTAAGTAAACAGATTTGATTTTTATCTAAATTAGACAGCTTTGTCAAAACTTTGGCTTTGCCCTTTTTTCCTTCCCCTTTTTTGTCTACATGAACTCTTAATACCTAATTTGTCACTTCTCTTCATGTTTTTATGACCCTTGCATTTTTATATCTATGCTTTAAGAAAAGTGCTAAACACAATAGTAATAATAACTAGCATTTATATAATGCCTACTATATACCAGATACCGTGCTAAGGGCTTTACAAACAATATCTCATTTGGTCCTCACACTATGCGAGGGAGGTGCTGTTTTTATCTCCATTTTAGAGATGAGTAAACTGAGACAAACAGAGGTTGAATGACTTGCCCAGGGTCATGCAGCTAGAAAATATCTGGGGCTGGATTTGAACTCAGATCTTCCTAACTCCAGGTCCAGCACTCTGAGCACTAGGGTGCCCACTAGATACCTTGATAGCAGAAAGCTGCCCTAAGACTCTTGGGATACCCTCTACAAGAAATACTGAAAGGGAAAAATCAGCAGGCCTTGGCAACAGAGTCAATACGGGGACTGAATGTGAGGAGTCAAGAATGACACCTAGGTTCCAAGCCAGGTTACCTTAGGAGGATTGGCATTCACACAGGTGAGGCGAACATAATACTGAAAAAAAAAAAGGGCAGCCTACTGCCTAAAAAACTCCAGTGGCTCCCCGCTAGCTCCAGGATGAAATATGAAGTTCTCTGGCATGTAAAACTCTTCACAACAGGCTCCCTTCCCATCATTTTCTTTCTTTTCTTTCCCCACATATAATTCATCTCCTGGCACTCTCAGGTCCTGCTGTTCTTCACACCTGACGCTCCATGTCCCATCGTCACAACTTTGAACTGACTCTCCCCCTGCCTGGAATGCTCCCCTTCTTCACTTTTGCTTCTTGGAATCCCAGGCTTCCTTCAAGATTCAGCTCAAATGGCCACCTTCTGAGGGAAGCCTTACCTCTCTGTGCCCTCCCCCAACCCCAATTGCTAATGCCTTTTGTTCCTTGTATAGTAACTACCTTGTAGCTATCTACCTATCTATCTACACATTGTCTCCTCCATTAGAATATAAGCTTCTTGACAGCTGACTTTTTTCTTTGTACTGTACCACACACACAGACACACACACACATAGCCAGGGTGAAGACACCTTACAGAAACCAGGATGATTTCAAAGGTAGGTAGTTACTGAGGTGCAGGGGAGTGTATATAGATTGTGCCCTCCAAGAAAGAATCTCTGGTGCTATTGAGTCCAATCTATGCCCTCACGAGAATTCCCTCGCCACCAGACCTAACAAGTGGTAATCCAACCTTTGCTCAAAGACCTTGGTTGAAAAGCTATTGACGACCACATTTCTCTTTGGGGAAGTTCTCATTCTTAGGTGTTTTTCCACTTATGTCAAGCCCAAATCTGCCTCTGTGACTTCTTGTTTCTAGCTCAGCTTTCTAGATTCCAGCAAAACACATCTAAGCCTTCTCTCCCTTTAAATGCTTTAAGATGGCTATCAAAGTTTGTGCAAACTCCTATGAATACCGATTTCTAGAGCTGTTTGGGGGAGGGAAGGTGCTGCTATTTCTCTTCCTCTTCTCCCAAACACACCCAGAGCAGCCAGTCCTCCAGTACTAGTGAATGTGGAAGCAGTGGAAGTGTCAGGTATGTGGCTAGGATATGGAGGAAAAGAGAGGCGCCCTATCTTCCTAAATGGGGAGTTAAGGGCCATTGCAAGGAGAGGGGGAGGTTCTGAAAGTCTTCCCTAGGCTACAGAATGTAGAGTGGGGTTATATATATATGTACATAGTACTCATACACAGGGGACAGATGCAACAGTCACATTAGTGTGTCCACTTTTTCCTATCATGGTTTTATTTTGTCTCCAGAGTTACAAATAGCTATAGTCAGCTTGGCTTTGGTCATAAAGAGGATGTTGAAACCAGGCAGCAGATGCAGAGTGAATCTGTTCCCTATTGTCACATGATTCCACCAAAGGGGACTTCACCCAATGTGATGGAGCTCTGCCTTTAGAGTTCTTGATTTTGAGTATATTCTCATAGAGACTACAGTCTCTCCATTATTATGTAGCCAGGTCTATTTGTGTTTAAATTTTAATATGCTCATGAATACCTCTGAAGGCATCCTCTGTGCAATTCCCAGGTTGAGGTCATCACCTCATCATCTCATCAGTATGCTGCTCATTCTAGCCTTGATTGAGGCCATCTCCCTCAGTCTCCTCTCTCCTCTGATTAAAGGACTGGAAGGTAGAGTATCAAACTCCTCCCAATGCTTTCCTTTTTAGAAGGCAGAGATTGGGCTTTTTATCCTCACTCCACTCTGTATCTGCTGCTCTGCCTGGTTTCAACTCCACCAAACAAGATTCTCCCATGCCAAGTACTCCCTGATACCCTGTCTCCCTCCCTTTTCCTGCCTCCTTTTGTGTATTGTCTCCTCCCATTAGATTGTAAGCTCCTTGGGGGCGGGGACTGAATTTCTTTTTATTAATCGTGCCCGCAGCACTTATCACAGCATGATATTTGTAAAGCACTTTGCAAACCATTCACAATTATTATTCTTGTCTGATACATAGGACACATAGGGAATTAACACAAATATATATGACCATGAGTCATTCCTCGATGGTTAATAGCCAAAGGAGATGAAAAAGTTTTTTAAAAGAAATGCAAGCTATTAACAATTATTTCAAAGATTGTTCTAAAATAGTAGTAGTAAAAATGAAAACAAAATTCCTAGAGTGAAGTCCTAATTCATACTCTATAACTCATCATAGATAACAAAAGTTAAGTCAGCATCAGAAGTGCTGTGGGAAAATATGCACACTAATAATGCATTGTTAGCAGAATTGGTCCAACCATTCCAGAAAGTAATTTGGAATTATGCTGAAAATTTGACTAAAATGTCCATACCCTGTGACCTAGAGATCCCACTATTAAGCGTATACCCCAAGGAGGCCAAAGGTGGAAAAGGGGTCCCATATATACCAAAATATTCATTGTAGCATTTATATGGTAGCAAAGAGCTAGAAACAAACCACATGCTCATCAATTAGACAATGGCTTCTGAATGTAATGGAACAGAACATTATTGTGCTAGAAGAAAAAGAAATATGAAAATTCAGAGTCACATGGGGAAACTTGAACTAAAGCAGAGAGAAATAAGCAGAACTAGGAAAAGAATATGCATAATGACTTTAAAATAATAAAAACTTTAAAATAATAAAAATAATAAAGACTTTAAAACAATAAAAGTAATAACTTAAAAATAATAAACCATGAACTAAAGCACAGAAAAGTAAGCAGAACTAGGAAAACAATATGCATAATGACTTAAATACAATAAAAATTTTAAAATAAAAAATTTAAAATAATACAAATGATAAAAACTTAAAATAAAAAACATGAACTAAAATAAAGAAAAGTAAGCAGAACTAGGAGAATAATATACATAATTAATTAAAAATAATAAAAGCTGGAATCTAAATTGAAAGAATAATTAAAAAAACTGAACATTACATAACTATAATGACCAAGATCAGACCCCAAGATTAGGAACAGATAAGAAAAGTTAAGTTTTCTTATAAGTATGGAAAATCACATGTCCTGTCACACAAGTTAATATGTTGGCTGTTTTTACTGAATTGCCTTTTTTTTTTAACTTTGTCATTTTAAATCTCAGTTACAAGGGAAGGTTTGCTGGGTGAAAGGGAGAGAATATATTTGGAAATTAATGTGATGTAAAAATAAAATAAAAAGTCATCAATACAAAATAAAAACAATTCTGTTGAACAAATGAACCCTTCTCCAAGTGTCCAGGAATCTACAAAGTACATGGGCTAAGTTATCTGCACATGTTTAAACGATTATTCTAGTAATGGCAGGGAAATGGAGTTATATTCCAATCAGCTATGGCACAAAGCCTCTGTGGATTATCTCCACTATGTTACAGGAACCATACAGAGTACTCTTACCTAATAAAGTTAAGGGGAAAAATGGATCTAGGTCAATCTCAGGATGAAGTTTCAACAGCATCATCCAAGGTTCTGGGGAGATAATCGATTATAATGGAATCTCCTTCTATATCTCAAAACAGGTCTAGTCATATTTAGATTTCATAGTAGCAGTGAAAATAAGCAAGTCTCTGTAAGTTATCATAAAGATATATATTCAACAAGAAGTGTCAAATATCACAACA